CGGAATCTGTGTGTGCGCGTGACGTGGATCCTCTTTGTACAAAATCTTCTCTTTGTGTGGGAAGTGGTGTCTTTCTGTAGAGGGCTTTTTTGGAGGAGCTTGTCTGATGGCTGCCTGTGAGTGAGCGGGGGAGGGAGACGTGACGGGTAGCGCCTCCATCAAAGACTTTCTGGAGGGAACGGCGTGCGTGGAGCCACCAAGGACGCAGCAAGGATGGGTACACGGGGGTGAGGGTCCCGGCAGGGACGTAAAGGTGGGCGTGCGGGCAGCGCCATGCCAAAGCATCCCTCCAGGGCGACCTCCCCACGTCCCCGGGGACCGTCAGCTGCCCCACGTCCCCCAGGGACCATCGGCCGCCCCGCGCGGCATCCCTCTCCGCCGAGCAGGCCACGGCCACCGTGTCCTTCATTGTTGTCACCCCCAGATTGTGATACTGTCACAAAACTGTTGCTAGGCAACAAATGTGGTTACCGGGTCTCAGCGAATAGCTGAAGGGGAAAGCGAAGTGTTGCACCATTGTAGAGTAACCATAGCAATGACCTACTATTACAGACTAAAGAATTATCATTAACAATGTTAAAGTATCAAACGGAGGCCCAGGATCCAGAGACTTCCAGGCAGCATCTCCGCATAATTGGGTTACCCAGGAAGAGGTCCCAACTCTTTCACAGCCCTTGGTTCCCTATCTCCATCGTCTTGGTTTTGTTTTGGGGGTTGTTGTGGGGTGTTTTTTGTTTAAATAAAGCAAATGCGCCATGCATTGGAGGAGACACTTGTAGAACAATAGAAGCGCCCACCAAAAAGGAAGAGATAGAGGAGAATCTGTATGCAGAGGGAAGAGATAAGCAGGAAAGGTCCACTTTACTGCCTCAATATCGTGTATGGGCTTGTTGGGAGAGGGTGCACGAAGGATGCCTTCGTGATGCATCGGTTGTTGTTCAGGTCAGGTGTTCTCTTTCGGTTAAAAATGCATGTATCAGGCTAAAAGCGATGTAAAATGAAAAAGAAATAATACAAAGTACACCGGCCCTGGAAAGCAGACACTTTCTTTTCCAAGTCAGGCAGAACAGGTGAGGTGCTTTAACGAAGCCGTACTCAGCAGGGTGCTTCAGAGGGGTCTCACTTTTCCCAGGCCCGGGATGCGTTCAGGAGCTCTCATCCATGTGGCCATGCATGTGGACGTCTGTCTGCGTGTCTCTGTGTGTGTGTGCACGGTTGTTCCTGCCCAGCTGCCCCCAAGCTCAGCAGCAGGGCCGCTCTGACCCCCCCCCCCGCCCCGGGCTCCCCCCGGCCCAGCTGCCAGCGGTTGTATGGCCTGCCCGGGTTTTGCATCAACACCCCTGCGAGCGGGGCCGGCAGCAGCGAGACGACCCCCGAGTCAAACTGTCACCTTTGTATTTTGCAGGTACAGAGCGCCATGAACTAACTTCCTGGAAGAGTTTTCTGTCTATTTTCAAGTTCTTCAGGGAGGCGGTGGAGGCGAAGAACAGCTCAGTGAAACCAACCCCAACGCGGCGCTCCAACAGGATAAAATACGAAGAATTGTAAAAGGAGGGGAGGAAAAAAAAGAAAAACCACGACAAAAACAAAACAACAAAACACCACCAACCTCTTCGCTGCTTGTTTTCTGCAAGCAGTCTCCCAGCCCCTCATTAGATTGTTTTCTTCCTAGAGCACAGGGTCGTGATGTATACATCTAAATAGCGTTTTGCATTATTTCTAGATGAGTGCAACTGTCAAAGCAATATGGGTTCACTGGTTGTGCTTCCTGTGGGCTGTAACTTGGATTTCGTGCTGCCCATCAGCGCGCAGATTAAGGCTGACAGTGGTACTGCACAGTGCAGCATGGTGCAGCTCTAATTGCCCTGACATAGCCCTGCACCAAGCTGATGCCAGAATTTAACAGCTTCGTTGTGGTCCTACTGCCTGCAGGGCTTTTTGCTGCTTCCTTCTCTTTTGCGACAGAACAAAATTGGAATTACTCTTTCTTAAAGACGGCTCTAACTCAGAAGTGCTAACCAGCCTGTGATTTTACACCCAATAGCCTTCTCTTTCTCTGGGACCAAGTGGGATCAACTCTTGACTCTTTCATTTTCTGCTGGTAGGAGGGTCCAAGAAGTTTGGTCCAGATTTATAGGAAAGCCCCTTTGTTGTAGAGATTTTCTCCTCCTGCCGGATCAATGGCATTATCTGTAGATCTTCTCTTCCTTTTGAAAGCTCCACTTTAAAAAAATGCCTATTCATTAACTAGCTGGATCGCACTGTGAAATATGTCAGAAAAGAGAGAGACACATTGCACATTTTCCTGTTTATTTTTAAACGCAAAGATGCTTCCGTTCTCATATGCCGGGTTTGTAATGACTTGCCATCCCCTGGTTATTCCCTTTTTCCTTAAGCTCGAGGGTCTGTCCC